TCCCTCAAGGTACAGCGCCAGGTACGCCGGGCCTCCGAAATAGAACAGGAGACCGTCTGGAGCTCTGGAAGACAGAGCGTTATGGGAGAATTAGACTAGAAAAGTCACATACTTCTGCTTCGGTAAAATCGGTAAAATCTATTTTGAGGTGATGTTAGTTGTAGACGACCATACAAAAGTCCATGTACTTTTTTGTTGTGTCAATAAAGAATCTGTAATTTTAAGACGAAAATCAGCGTCTTTACGTCATCAGGTTTTACGAAACAGGCATATTGTTATCACATCTTGTCCTCTAAACCCACTTGGTCCTGAACTTGAGGCTGATGACAGTGTTGGAGCGGGGAGTGTTGTCGATCCTCATTCGCAGGTATGACGTGACCGTGGTGAGAGTGACGACGGACGGCGGGAGACAGACGACACACCGGTCGGACACGCTCAGCTGACTGGAGGGGTTGTTCAGGTCGATGTTGGCCTGCCCCGCACGGATAAACTCGATACAGGTGATGGGGTAGGCTTTCAGACGCTGGGTGTTCAGCTATGAAGGAGACAATAACTTTTTTACCCGATGGCTGTTGGTCAAACCATACAAATACAATGTTTATCAATTCGTGCAGAATTTGAAAGAATCATTTTAACTTCCTTTACAAAGATGGATTTGCGGTAAAAAATATGTTTAATGAGGCTCTTGCCTGGGTGCCATCCTACTTATATAGTCCATGATAGATTGCTACAATAGGAAGCCGTAGTTAATGGTCCATGATAGATTGCAAAAAATAGGGGGCCGTAGTTTACAGTCCATGATAGATTGCAACAATAGGGAGCCGTAGTTTATAGTCCATGATAGATTGCAAAAAATAGGGGGCCGGCGGTAACTACGGAGGATGGCACCCAGGCTGCCGAAGCTCCACGGAACTCACGAACTCAGTACAAATCCGACTCATAAATACCACAAGAGGCTTGTCGTAGCAGTAGCTATGTACTACCTCAAATTCACAAAACCAGCTTTTAGCAGCATCTTCATTGGCTGGAATTTTTCTATTCGCCTGTGCACTACTATTGAACAGCATTCTCTTCAGAGAATTAAGTCAGTGTAGCCTAACGCAGCTTTCAACTTCATGTGTCGATGACAAAATATAGTTAACACACGAGGAGCATTACCCTGAGTTGATCGATAGCTTCATATCCGCCAATCAGGGTTTCTCCGACGAGGATGCTGCGGCTGAAGTCCAGGTTGACGTCGACGTCCGTCAGGATCTCGGGTGTGTAGGAGATCCCGTTAATGATGACCCTCGTCTGAGCATTCAGGGTCCTCAGACCTGTGATGGTGACGTCATGGGTCTGGTTCCGTGGAACCTCGCCAACGTACATCTGTGCGAGAACAGAACGTTTATAGCAAATGGGGCTCACGATTGAGACTGCGCATGCCCATTGTCAAAGGGTAAGGCCCCCGAGACGTTAACAAAACACGTCTGAACATGTTTTGCTTACATCTGAACACGTTTTTTATTTACTTCTTTTAAGAAGACGTAAACAAAACATGTTAAAACATGTTTTGTTTACGTCTAAACAATTTGTGTACGTCTGCATGACTTGTTTACGTTAGACGATTTATTTACGTCTAAACATGTATTGTTTACGTCTAAACATATTTTGTTTATGCCTGGATATGCTTTGTTTACGTCTAAACGGCTAAACGCCTAAACTTTGGTTTACGTTAACTTTGAACATGTTTTGTTTACATCTGAACATGCATATGTTTTGTGTACGTCTGAACATGTTTTCGGAGAACTTCACTTTTGACACTGGGTATGCGTAGTCTCAATCATGATCTTGCCTATTGGCGCCAGTATATACCCTTTAGAAATCTCAACAACAATTTTAAAGGCTATTTAAATCGCGCTCCTGGCGGCCGGCTCGCCCCACAATTGCCACCACCCCCATTAGGGAGAACACAGACTACGGCGACGCTATTTTGTTGTTTTTTAAGGATGCTGTAAGGGATTAGATTTCTAGTCAAAGTTAGTAAAATATTACAGAGGGTTTTCAAAATTACCTCCGCTGGTAATCCATCTATCGATGCCTCGATGTACAGTCTCTCATCGTGGACTCCCAGGGCGAAGAAGTTCCTGCCCTCCCCCTGCTGGTAAATGAGCACGCCCTTGTTGTTACAGTAGCGGAACCTGAACTCCAGTCTGTTCTCGGCGCCCACTAGAACGTTACTCCCCAGGTTCCACTTCAGGTAGCCGTTCTTATCTATGTACTTCTCACATCTGGCGTGTTGTACGGATGCTATCAGGAGAACTGTGAACCAGAAAGGCGTAAGACAATTATTTGCTGACAGTTCTTACCTCACCTCACCTCACCTTACCAGTCCCATAGCTGTCAGCTGAAGGGCCAGCTGAGAGTTATGATCGTCATGAAATATAGCCCCGGTGCCCTCTTATCGTGGAAGTTTTACAACAAGATTAGCCTAGAGTAAAGAAACTAGTGAAAGGTTCTTTGTGTGTACTTGAGCTTTGAAGTGTTCTATTCCTTTGAGCGTCAAAAGTTGCCCAAAATATATTGGTTGCTTTGACCTAACAGTGAACATTCTTCTACTCGATCAGCTTAGTTTAGTACAGCCGGTTTGTAACTTCATTGTAATTCTATTTATGTTACCGAGGGAAAACATATTGTTTTTGCTCCATTTCTTCTTCTCCAAACACTAACCTCTGACCGGGCCAATGACCTCTTTTGTTTACGTCTGTCACCATAGTAACTGGTGCCGTATGGTCTGTACCAACACAACACAAACAAATGTTGCCTGCTTACACAGTAACAAAAAAGTGTTTACCCCTAATGATATTAGGTAACAAGTGAGAGGTACAAACGGTTGGGGAAAACAGGTAAATTTCACGGTAGTAAAAATTAGGGCTGAAAACTTCCCACGTCCTTTAGAACCGATCTGTGTTCGATCTGGGTAATTCGAACCGAACTCACGTTCCATTTGGGGGTCACCTGCGGTCATTTACAATAAACCCATAAAAGCAGTGTATTTTCCCCTACGTGCAACACTTTTCTACAGATAATAACCGTTTCCTGGATAGTACATGTACGCTAGCGCTATAATTTTGTTGGGGGCGTGTAATATGTAGCGAAGCTACTGTCGTATTCGAAGGTGACCTTGACTATTGTAATGCTTCTTAACGCCAATGCAATATCATTAAACTTCTCCCCATTCTGGGGAATTGCGTCTCGTAAATTTTCTTTAAGTCTTGATATTTTTTTATTTAACATTTCATGACCAAACAAGATGACAGCACTCTGAAGTTATATCAACTCATCTTATGCCGCCACCAACACAGAGTACAAATTCAGGACAGGACAATACTCATTTTCACTTCAGTTCAGTGAGGAAAGTAGTTTGAAGTGCCATGTTTCCCATGGGTACAAGATCGGTGGCATGTCAGGACTCGAACCTGGGACCTCTTGGTTCCGAGTCGAGCACTAGTACGCTACGCCACACGACCCCAAGTCTTGATATTTGTTGTTGGTTGGACGATAGATCGATAAGAAAAGACAACATCCCCTTGTTTGCATGAGAGACACATACTTGCATCAACACGTCAAGGAACCAACGAGATACAGGATCGAATAAACTCCAACAGTGGACGACCTCATTTTTAGCAATGAACCTGAGTGTTGTAGCCTAGCTGAAAATATACTACAACTAATCGTACGTGTGCCTGCGCCGTTTAACAATAGAAATGTACCGATCCTGCTCGTATACGTGTTGTAGTCGTATCTTGGACGAGTGTTATAGGATAGTTGGAAGGGTTAGGTGGCAAAAAGACCAGCAAATGCCACTTACCTGTAAAAAGTTGTAAGCTGTTCTGTACTCTAACGCCAAAGAAAAACATGGCTGGACTAGAACTTAGTAGAAGTTTGTGTGTATTGAAAACCTCCTACTAGTTTCGCAGCTATTTCCTTGTGTGTCTTCGATGACGTCACGTCCTTTCCCAGAATGCGTTGCGCCTAGGAGTAAAATCTCCTCATTTGCATAGTGGTGGGTTGGGGGGGGTAGAATTTTGCGGCAGTGCGATTTTGCGACAGTTTCTATCAGCGTGCGAATTTCCAACGTAAACAATGGCTTGCAATCGCAACAAATCGGTAAGTGAGCTACTAGTCTGGCCCTACATGATATGACTCCTAAAACTCATATAGTTTGGCCGTACATACAGAAAACAGCGTGTGTTATGTAGAATACATTCGCATATGGATGAATTTATTGACAGGATGGACCTGTCAATAGTGAAAAAAATTCTGTTATTGACAGGACCATCCTGTCAATAGTGCATTTTTTTCTGTTATTGACAGGAAAAATCCTGACAATAGCGAAAAATCTTTTGTTACTGACAGAGCCTTCCTGTCAATAGCAGGAAATCTTCCACTATTGTCAGAATGATCCTGTCAACAGTGCATTTTTTCTGTTATTGATTGTCAATACTGCAGGTTTTTCCACTATTGACAGGATCTTCCTGTCAATAGTGCAAATTTCCATCATCGACAGGATGGTCCTGTCATTTATCCATAAGCATGAGGAGACCCCCCCCCCTGCGTAATGCATCCTGGGAAGGGGAAACTCGTGAATTCAAAGGGAATTCCCCTCCCCTAACACCTTTGCGCTGTGCATCATTGAAGTTACATTGGCATATGCATATGAAGGATAAGTGGAATACCGGGTCTGACTGTTACATCTTATAAGTACCTTTGTAACTTTGTAAATTAATTGCTCTTAGTATGGATGAATTTAACTTGCTAGGCCAACAGATTCATGACGTCATTTTGATGGCTATCAGTATTTTAGCTTTAAAAGCTGCAGAAGGAAAAGGAAACACGTACTAGAAATGACTAGTATGTCTTCCCTGTCTCTTAGAGCAATGGAACATTCCAAGCGGAACCCCCCCCTTCCCTAACACCCTTGCGCGCGCTGCATGACGTAATGGACAAAACAGGTTCCACGTATGCTGGTTAGCATAACCTTGGCTTAAAATATACAAGTGCCGAGAACAACACAGACCTCACAACGTTGAACAGGTTTGCACGATTTACTTATCAAGGTATGCAACAAAAACTTTCTAGTATTGATACATATACTTTACAGATACTTGTCTTGGCCACAACTATACTGGTAGAACTAATATAGTGTCTACGAGAGACCTTCGCAAACATACTGTACTGTATTGGTGTATACAATTGTAACAATTACAGATATGGTAACTGGGTATTGTAGATATGATACACATATATCGGTCTACTGTTGACATGTTGCGACAAGTACAATGCAGTTCATATGTACCAGAAATCTATCGGTAGGTACGTTGACTTAACACGAATGTGTTGCTAATATCCTAGCCTACCCCCCCCCCCTCCCTCTCACTAAAGTAACAAAGAAAACAACTGTCTACCTACCTTTTACTGAACGGAAGATTCGGAAATCCCCATTAGGTATAAAATCCCCCTACAGTACCACACATGGGGATTTCCGCTTTTATTTTGGTTAAGACAAAATAGCTTTTTAGCCTGAGGTTGGAATGTGTTTATATAATCAGCACAGGACGTGAAATTGGCTGTATGTTTTCTAATTATAGGCTAATGTATGGAAGAACGATCTCCGTTAGTCACAGTCTCGACTATGAAACGACAAATGTCTCTAACCATTCAGGACCCTATTGATATGCTATGTTGAGGTTTGCTGGTACAGAATCTGTACGATATTCATCTGCAAACATGCACTACTATATATAGTACCTCTGGATGTTGGTAGTGGTCGATGTGTGAGCACACAAAATATGCACATTATATTTCTTTATATATAAAGACTAAGCTTTAACTTCCAACACTAAATACAAAATATTGGGACTTGCCCCAAATTTTTGGTTGACTCCATCGGGATTATAGACCCGTCTACTGTTGGAACGTGACGTCAGAAACCAGGACCATAATAGCGGGTCATACGTGACAGATAACTTGTGTCGCCCCCCGTCTCTGTTCAGAGCTCACAGACCTACTACTGCTACACCGTTCTGTTACTTGCTATGTTTCTCGAAACTTGACCCCTGACCCTCCAAAATATTCTTACTGACGACTGATTGTTATTTTATGACGATTATATATTTTTTTGTTTAATTGTATTTTTACGATTAAACAGTTTTAGCTTCATTTACTATATTGTTATATTACTTTCTGCATTTATTATAAGGAGGCTCCCTTGGAAAGCAACCTGCTATTGACTGAAGGGACTAATAAATGAATAAATAAAGAAACAAATGATGACTATGGGATGTGTCTACCATGACGCCTTACAGCACTACCAGGGGTAGAAATGGGACATTTATGTTAAATTGCCCGAATAACTTAACTTTTAAAAAACATAAAGCAGAGAAAATGTTTGGGAAATTTAAATCGTGAAATAGAGGTATTAAATAACCTCGCTGGACACTAGATAAACAATGCTATCTTTTGAAAAAAATTACAAAATGTATAATTATGCATAATTGCCCTATTTGATCACTGCCCGTTAAATTGTACCTCTCTCTATGACAATGAAAAAAAAAACGTTATATAGTGTAACCACTAAAAAAATATCTGAAAACTTTAAGAAAAAGGAATTGAAAAATTGAAGCAGGTGAACGATCCATATTTGTGTTTTGCTACGCGCCCCAAGCATTGCAAATGGGAGCATGACCAATTATTATTATGTAACTATTTAATCTATTACAACATAACAGTGGCGAGTGTGCACCGGTAAAAAACACACACAAAAAATTACATGTTTGCTTGATTATCTGCTGTTGGAAGGTTGGACTGGCGTATGTTTTTGTTTTGTAGAGAAAGAAAATGAAGTTTTCATCTTGTTTCTTGCTGTACAAAAAAAATGAATGATACTCCATACGCTACGTTACTTCGTTAGCATAGAACTTTGTGTTTATAATTCTTCAATTCCAATTTTTCCCTAGATGGCGAAATCTAATCCTGTACGTATACAGCGATGCCCGGAGAGCCCATTTTAGTTTGAATCTGTTGAATTTAGATTCTGCACTATGTATAAAATTTATCCATTTATATGAAAGCTCACTGAGTGGATGAAACGGCAATGTTGGACACTCATTAGTCTACATAGTATTAGATACGCACATTCGGATTACACAAAAGAAGAGTGTGACAACCAAAGAAACAGGTATGGCAAATGCAACGACAACACTGTCGACAGTCGCGGAAGAACTTCGGGAACTGGACCTGATATTTAGGAGTGGATCTGATCTGGATTTTGTTGAGAAGGGATACGGACGTAAACTAATTCAAGGCTTGAGTACTCAAAACAACATTTTGGAGTGTGAGGCCTTGAAAAGTCTAGGAGATCTGTACCTGCAGAAAGCTAAGATGAACGATAATAAAGTAGAGAACTTCTACAAAGCATGTTCACTCTACACAGAACTCTTACAATACTACAAAATTAACGAGGAGAAGCAAGTTCTTCAACGTCGAATCAGTTATGCAGAGAAATGTACGAAACTGGTACATAATCAACTTGCTCCCAGAAATTCAGGCAATACGACATTGGCTGTATCCATGACATTGCATGGCATAACAGAGAAGACAAGGATTAAAAGATACGGTATGATGCCATTGGTTGAAAGTTATACAGAATCCTTTGTAAACGCTGTCGTGGAAAGAAATCAACGTCTGCAAACAGAATCGTTAAAGAGTATCGGAGATCTGTACCTAGAAAAGGGAAGGGTTGGTAAGGACGAGGCAGTCTTCACGAAATCAGCCGGTCTGTACCGAGCGGCGCTGGACCGCTGTGAAGATTCAGACGGCAGAGAAACACTGAAGCATCGCATCAAGTACGCGGAGAAAGTACGAGAAGTAGAAACAAGGGTAGGAATCTGACCTCTTTCCTTTTTCGGCTTTACATACTATATATTGACATATTTTCCATAGATGGATCGTCAATCTTGTTCAAGTGGAAAAGTTGCTGCAAAATATTATATCTTTTGACTTTATTTTTAAATCATTGATTTACATATATTGTTGAATTGTTGGTTAAATATTTATTGCTAATTAAAAGACTACATGTCATTATGTATTTGACGAAATTGTTCTAGGAAGAATTGTGCTTTTAGTTCTTCTTAAATTATCCCCCTTCCGCTTCACAGAAAGCCAGGAAACGCCTGAAAACAGGCCCATCACTGAAGAAAGTTGGAAGTGACAACTGCCTCACGTCTCCCCCCATGTCGTACGAACAGCACATACAGAAGGGCTGCAGGGCCCTGCAGGCAGGGGACCTGGACACGGCAGAACACAACTTTGCAGCTGCACTCAAGGCCGTCCATGTGAAAGGTATGTCTTTGAAAATACATGTCTAGAATCGATGTCCCTTGGTGCAGCAAGACAAGACTAGGAAATGTTATTTTTGGTCGTTAGTAATTGACATGGCAAACAAACGTACAGTAGACTGCAGTTTCGCAACCTCACCCGACCTCACAGCTTCAACAAAGGATGTTGCAAAGAAAATATCATGAAGGTTTTACAATTAAGCCCCTTATCTGCACAAACTATTTCTTAGTGATCGTCTTAACCCAAAGAGGCCTTATCTTAGAGGCGAAGGCTACTGTAGCATGTTCTTATTTAATTATCGCAAAAGCAAAATAGGCCATGGTTTACGCCTAAATGCCGCATCCCAATCATTGACTGCAATAGAATTTCCTGATACTATGCAAATGAGGTTTTCATTTACATGTTTCATATGGTGTTCCTTTTTTTTCAGTTTAACATGTTTCACATTTTGGATCGCACTGCAAAATCCTGTCTACTATACTATTAATTATACTTAAATTAGCATTTAATTATGTCAATTATCACTAAAGCTATCGACATACAAAATATTAATTTCCTGATTAACTTTCCTTAAAGTCCTGATCATAAATTCATTAATTCAGCCTCCAAAACAATTCCCAACCCACTTCTCAATCAGTCTCTTCGCGCAGTTCCGAAAAAATCTCCTACGGGGCTTAAGCCTACGCAGCATTTTGGACATCGTAACCATATAAATTCAAGATTACGAGGGATCAAAGACAAAAGTCATGTTGTAGTACGCTAGGGGACTCATATGCTGTCGATTCTGCAGTTTGTCAAAACCTACCAACATCCTAAATATTGTAAAGATCAATCCACAACTTCTCGAGTCCTACTGCTTACGACACAAACGTAGCCCGGAAAACGTATCCTTGTTAGCGAAGGTAACAACTTGCAATTTTTGTTTCAAACAGAATCAAATACAGGTCAGCACTGGAAAGAAGTACAGCCGCTTTGCAAATTGACCGATGTCTTCCTGAAGAGAGGAATGCAGTCCAAAGACGGAGGTGATTTCACCAAGGCTGCAGCACTCTGTAATGCAGCAGTGGTGAGATCCAGGGCAGAAGACAGAGAAGATATCGAGCAAACGATTCAAACTATAACCCATTCGTTTGTGAAGCACGTCTTAGGTTTGAAATTAACGGTACCATACGATGACATAAAGAAACACAAATCAAAGTTATCAGAATGCCGTGACTATGTGGTAGAAGAGATGAAAAGAATTGAGAAACGGAGAGATCCTTACTGCCTTGATGACGATGACCCAAGTATTATTGAAGTAGAGAGAAAGAGAGCAGAAGCAATCAAAACATTGTTTGACACAATTGTTCATCAAAGAAGAACATTCATAGCCAGCCTTGTAGGTGAGTGCATACAGGTAATGGGCCCCCCTCCCTGTAAGTACGCCATGATAGGACTTGGTTCACATGCCACAGGACTAGTAACGCCATACTCCGACCTAGAGTTTGCTCTTTTGATAGAAAAGGAAACGGAGATAATTGTGGACTATTTCCACAATCTCACGCACTACCTCCATCTGAAAGTGATCAATCTTGGGGAAACCATCCTTCCGGCCATGGCGATCAAGTCTCTCAATGACTTTGAGTCAGATAACAAGCTAGATGACTGGTTCTACGACTCTGTAACGCCGCGTGGGTTCTCTTTTGACGGTGCAATGCCACATGCATGTAAAACTCCACTAGGAAGAGGCAAAGCTAACCACCTTATCCGCACCCCACAAAACTTGACCAAAGTCCTGGAGGACGATGTTACACTGCATTTGAAGAAAGGCTACCACCTAGCGACAGTGTTAGGAAGTGTCTCTTTTATTACTGGGGAACAACACTTAGTCGATGACTACAAAGCTGAATGGGATCAGCAGCTGAAGAAAAATGGGAGAAAAATTGCAAAACTGGTAGCAGACGCAACGTTGAAGGAAAATACGCAAACATTTCAAAAACAGGATCTGACTGCCAGGCTGCTGGACGTTAAGAAAGATATCTATCGATTTTCCAGCCTTGCAGTGTCTTGTTGGGCACTACTTTCTGACATACAGCCGACAACAATATGGGAGACTGTCCATAAAATGCACAAGAGAAGAACCATCAACGACAAGAACGCACATCACTTAATGGTGCTGGTCAGCATCTCAGCAGAACTGAGACTACGAACATACATGAACAATCATGGTCAAGTAGAGAACATGTCAGCTTTATCTTCAATCGCAAATACTTCTGATATCGGAGAAATGTCAAGAAAGGTATTTTACGTGTCGAACACGAAACAATTAATGAGATACTATTATACAGCAACGCCACTTAAGCGTTTTGTTTCACGCTTAAGAGAGAGGCAATCAATAGCTACAGATGAGTCGTTGATTCTATTTGACAACTCCTCCAGACTACGAGCAGAGGTCTACACAAGTCTGTGCGACTACCAAAAATCAAAAGAATACACTAAACAAGCACTAGAAGAAGAGATGGTCAAACATAAAACGGGATTTGTTCATCCTGATATCGCGGACATACTTAGCGCATTGGGAGACATCTGCATTCATCTTGGAGATCACGAAGAGGCCGTCTACTATTTTGAACAAGTACTTGAGATGAGTCGGAGTTTCTGTGGTGAGATCACTGTACATCATGTCATTGCCGCGTCTCTTAGCAATTTGGGTAATGCTTGGGGATCTCGTGGTGATCACATAAAGGCTATCAGCTTTTATGAACAGGCACTAAAGATGAACCGGGACATGTATGATTACGACACGTTACATCTTGACATCGCAAATTCACTTAACAACTTAGGTAACGCCTGGATGAACCTTGGTGATTACAGAAAGGCCGTCAGCTATCATAAACAATCACTGCATATGAAGCGGGGTCTCTATGGCTACAATACCGCTCACCCTGATATCGCCATGACACTCTACAATTTGGGTATTGACTGGAGGAACCTGGGTGACTTCAAGAAAGCTATTAGCTATGATGAACATGCACTGCAGACGAGGAGGAGTATCTATGGATTCAGCACTGCACACCCTGACATCGCCCGGTCACTTGACAGCTTGGGTATTAACTGTGGAGAGCTTGGTGACCACAGAAAAGCTCTCAGCTATCATTACCAGGCACTGCAGATAAGGAAAAGTATTTATGGTCCCAGCACTGCACATCCTGACATCACCGCGTCGCATAACAACTTGGGTAACGCCTGGAAAAGCCTTGGGTACTATAAGATGGCCGTCAGCTCTTATGAACAGGCACTGCAGACTTGTCATAGTATATATGGTGAGGGAAAAGCACATCCTGACATTGCAAGGACACTTAACAACTTAGGCAACGGCTGGATCCACCTTGGTGATCCCAGAATGGTCGTCAGATATTATCAACAGGCCCTGCAAATGTATAGGAGTATGTATGGTGAGAAAACTGTACATCCTGACATCGCCTCCGCAATCAACAACATGGGCATCGCCTGGAATTACCTTGGTGATCACAGAAAGTCCCTCAGTTATCATGAAAAGGCACTGCAGATGAAGCGGACTATCTATGGCGAGGGCACTGAACATCCTGACATCGCCTCGTCACTTAGCAACTTGGGCCTCGCCTGGAGTAACCTTGGTGATTACAGAAAAGCAGTCAGCTACTATGAACAATCACTGCAAATAAAACAGAATATCTACGGTGAGGGAACTGAACATCCTGACATTGCCTACATACTAAATAACTTGGGTAACGCCTGGAGTGGCCTTGGTGATTTCAGAAAGGCCATCAGCTATCATGAACAGGCACTTCATATTAGACAGAGCGTCCATGGCAAGACCACGCCACATCCTAGCATCGTCAAGTCACTTTATAACTTGAGTGTCGCCTGGAGAAATGTTGGTGATCTTAGAAAGTCAGTTTTCTACCATGATGAGATGACATGGATGGAAAAGATGATTGAAAGCTACAGATACTGACTTAACCTTTGATCTTACCAACTTTGTGTCTCCTCACAATACCCAAATAGCACAAAAAATTTTAGTACTTGAAGGAAGCTTTTTTATTAATATAAAAAACGCTTTATAAAAGGTTGTTGATCCCCCCTTGGAGCATATATTCGCGGTTATCCACACACTATTCTACAAAGCGGAAACAATCATTACTGACCCTCAAGAATAGAAGAGAAACGTCACGTTTTACAGGCGTTAAGAAAGTGCGGGTATTACACTTGGGCACGGATAAATAAGTACGCCGATCTTGAAGATTCAGAAAGCCTCCGTGATGTGTACACGGAGGGATGAAAATGTGATTATTATTACTTGCGGCTAGAAATGTTGCTCTGGAATTATCACACATGTACCGACTGTTTTCTGACACTGTGAACTATTCAACATTTTAATATTTCCTGAAAAAGGCGTTCGAGTAAATTTCGTTCTTTAAAAGTCTTCCAGATCCCATTGATTAAGCATAAAAGTATCATTTTTTGGACTTTATTACCTCCATGAAAAATGGAGGTATTGTTTTTGGCGGCATCTGTCTGTGTGTCTGTGTGTGTGTGTGTGTGTGTCTGTGTGTCTGTGTGTGTGTCTGTGTGTGTTTCCGCAACTTTGTAGTCAGCATAACTTTATAACGCCTTTATGGATTGTGATGATATTTGGTATGCTGATAAGTCTTAGGAGGACAAAGGTCAAGGTCAAATATGGGCCTCCTGGTGGATGACCTTGGTACTGCAGCAGAACTTCCGGTTTTTGTATCTTTGGTCCTGAACATGCTTGGGTCTTGAATTTTTAGTGACAGATAGCTTTTCCTGTCAGGAATAAGTGGTGTGGGTTTGGTCCCCCTAGCAGCTTGTTCAGGAACTGCAGGGGCCTTTGGGCGAAATCTTTGAAAGCCAATAAGTACAGATAGGAACATCGTATTTTCATCATTTTTGGTGTGTAGGTATCTGACAGAGAGATGTACATAATTAACTGCAAATTATGCAAACGAGGACTTTATTTGCATAATTAATGAAGAAATTCTATAATTACAGTGTTTTACATTATAGAACTTTCATACATGTAATGTATGTAACCTATGGCAGATGAAACATCAACAGATACTAATTATGCAAATTATGACCTAATTTGCATAATTAATGCAAAAAATCTATGATTTCTCAATGGTGAATGATGGGAATGTCATACTTGGGACATCTTTAAGTTAATCAAAAGTTAACATCACGATGCATATATTATGTTAATGCAGAGGTCATTTGCATAATTAAAGAAGAAATTTACATTTACATATCAAGCCCATATTTCATGGAGGTATGAGATCTCGGAACTCTTGTATTTGCATGTATTTTATGAACCATCCATTGAATCGTCGATGAAGGTTAGACATCTAGGTAATACGATACGCCAAAAAAAAAACAGTTACTCAAGCAACTGGATATGATTTTGAAAACGTCAGACGTTTCAGCTAGTATCCACTAGCTTTCGTCAGTGACTGAGAGACCAGAGGGGAAAGCAGGTTTATAAGCACAAGCTATTGATTGATATGCAAATAAAGTGAAGACAAATTTTTAGAAGTCGAAAAAGGAACAAAAGTCAGACAAGTCAAGACAAGATGATGCAAATAAGTCTGAAAGCTCCTGTTATACAGAACAGGAGCTTAAGTGTTGTCTGTCCTCGGGGCTGGGAGTGCCAAATCCCAAGTGCCGGAAAGATCGACCCGTAGCCCCCCTTCCCTGTTGAGGGTGGGGTTGTACATTCTTTCATATATTGCCTATTTAACACCCCGTTCCCACCAGCGTGTTTCGCGATCTAAGACATCCGTGGACTCGAGTTTGAAAGAGTGACCCTGGTTGTGTTGTAGGTGGTCGAAAATAGCTGAGGAGTAGCCGTTGGCACTAGGTCGGCAATGTTCTTTGTATCTTACTTTGAGTGGTCGACGTGTCTCTCCGATGTAGGTGTTGTTACAATTGGGCTCCTCACATTTGAGTCTCTAAATAACATTCGCCTTGGTACCTTTGTGAGGTCGGTCCTTAGGGTGTACCAGTCTTTGTCTGAGGGTTGAGTGAGGTTTGAAGTTAGTGGCTATGTTGAAGTTTTGGAAGATCCGTCGGAGTTTCTCAGATATTCCTTGGACATACGGAATAGTGATGTTGGCCTTGTTTTTGTTGGTGAATGCTTTGCACTTCTGGGTTTTCTTAGACTGATCTGAAGGTTTGAGCGCTTTGTTGAAAGTCCAGTTTTGGTAGCCACATTTAGCCAGTGCACCTCTGAGGTGTCTATGTTCGCCCGTTTTGGCTTGGTCTGAAGTGACAATGTTGTCTGCACGATGGAAGAGAGTTTTGATCACTGCTAGTTT